GGATTTTTTCAATAGATTGGATCCCGCCAATATATAGTATTTCCAGGGCGTTATATCCATACACAGAGGCTGAAAGGGGCTAACGTCAATGATAAGGTAGGTATCCTTAATATTCTACTCGTTAAATGGTTATTTGTGTATCTGAGTTGAGTGTTAGATTATATTACATTTATGGAGATTAGAGTGTTCTTCCATTGTTTGGATTCTGCTGAACAGTGACCTTCATTGTTGTTTAATCTATGTATTGTATATTGATATTCCTTCATGTGAAGTTCTCTTGGAGTGACTTTGAAGGAAATTTCGTGGAAATGTATTTGGGTAATCGTTACCTAAGCTTTCTTCTGTTAGTGAAAATTGGTTTCAGCATGTGTCAAATATAATATGGTGTTCATATTTAGCGTGCTTAAATTAGTTAGTCTGAACAAAGACTTGTTACGAAATATTTGACTTATTCATGTGGGGTTTGAGATATGGATGCCATGACTAACGGCATAGAAGAACTGTAACAGCCCAAGCACACCGCTAGCAAATATTGTCCTATTTGGACTTTCCTTCATAGTTTTTAAAACGTGTCTGCTAGGAAGAGGTTTCCACACTCTTATAAGGGGTGTTTCGTTCTCCTACCCAACCGATGTGGGATCTCACGAGAACCATTTTTACTTTTAAATGTTAGTATTATGAGGATAGTTTTTGAGCTTGAGATTTGAAGGAGTGCTTCATATTATTTTGTGAAGGGTGTTGCTGCTTGGCACCATGGCATGCTATCTGTTGGACATCAAGGGGAAAAAGTGTGAGATGGTAAGAGAATTGATTAGACCAAGAGAATGTTGTTGGGTTTGGTAGAAATGTCTGGATAATTTAGAAAAGTTATTCCTGAGTAGTGGTGATAGAGCTTGATCTTGAGGCAGTGTAACGGCCCAAGCCTACCACTAGCAGATATTATCCTCTTTGGGCTTTTCCTTTCGAGCTTTTCAAAACGCATTTGCTAGAGAGAGGTTCTCACACCCTTATAAAGAATGCTTTGTTTTCCTCCCCAACTGATATGGGATCTCACAGGCAGTGTCCTGCGTCATTGACAACTTGGTAGGAGCTTCGTCATAGCCTAAATTTTTTCCCTTTAGAGTGAAATATACTCCTAGCTGTGATTCTGTTTCAGACTTCATCAAATAATCGGGGATATTTTTTCAGATTTCTTTGGATGACCTCTTTATGACAAATTCACCATGAATCTCAAGATTTGACTGTTATTCTTCTCGCTTGTTACAAAGAGTTTGTCTTTTCCCTAACTCTAGCTATTTTTGCTCGTTCATTCATGGACTCTCAAGTCATCTGACCTTTCCTTGTAAGTTTAGTTTTCTCATTAGTTGATCTTTTTCAATCCTCTAGTCCTCATTTCTTCGATGTGGCTAAAATCTCAGAGAAGCTTTGGTTTTTGTAATTGTCGATCGTTTTCGGAAGGATAAATAACATGGACCTGGTCCAAAGATGTTAAGTGTATGGTTTCGAGACCTACAAGTTTGCGTTATACAATAAGGTAGCTTAAGACTTGCTTCATGTACTATGAAGGTGTCACTTTACTGTATAAGTTTGGAATGGATTTATTGAAATCGTTAGAAGCACTCTAATAGGTAGAAATAAGCATACTGGGTAGTTACTAAAAGAATTGCAAAGAGAGTTCCAATGTAAAATTGAAGAAACCACCCTATCCCAAAAACTAAAAAATCCTCTTGTTGCATAAAATGCACAAATTGAGAAATAAGTAATTTCTTTAATGTGACCTTTTTATGATCAAAGGAAGAACTTGAGTTTCTTCTTATTTAACTTTGTGAGAGATTCTCTATTCTTTTTCATCACGGAATTTACTGCCAATCATCTTCTAGAGAAAAGTATGAAGTCTAGCTTCCAACTTCCATCTTCACTTTCTGAATGAACACCTTCTATGTTGTCTTTCTGGTGATTTCTCCTGAATTTCATTGTTAATAGCTTTTCAATACAATGGATCGAATGAAGAAACTGACTTTAGAAATGTGATAGACGTTGTAACAGCCCAAGCTCACCGCTAGTAGATATTGTCCACTTTGGTCCGTTACATATCACCGGTAGCCTCACGGTTTTTAAATCACGTCTTCTAGGGAGAGGTTTCTACACATTTATAAAGAATGCTTCATTCTCCTCTCCAACCAACGTGGGATCTCACAATCCACCTCCTTTGGGGGGACCAGCGTCCTTGCTGGTACACTGTCTGGCGTTTGGCTCTCATACCATTTGTAACAGCTAAAACCCACCACTAGCAAATATTGTCCGCTTTGGTCCGTTACATATCACCATCGGCCTCACGGTTTTTAAAACACATCTTCTAGGGATAGGTTTCTACACCCTTATAAAGAATGCTTCGTTCCCCTCTCCAACCAATGTGGGATCTCACAACGATAATCATTGATCAAAATTCATGTGGTGCGCATATATTTTCCTGTGTGAATATTGATTTAGTTTATAGTTTTTAGATTCCTCATCGAGTAGCTCGATGAATCTCATCATATTCTACAAACTAATGAACATCGGGTTTATTATGTAATAACAAACCGGTCATGTCTCATCTATATATGTGCAACTAATTATATGATAGATACTGTAACGATCTTAAAGTTCTCTAAATTTCTTATTGTTCAGATAACTCTGAACAAAGTTTTGCTTGTGGGAACAAAGACTCAGGCATACATTGGAAAACCAATAGTGACAAATGCTGCTGTTCATGCCGTTGTCGAGGAGCAGGTAATGCATTAACTTGGTGATCATCCCCTCTTCATCAGAATGAAATAGAACAATGCTTCTTTTTCTTAGATTGTCTTGTTTTTATTTCATATATTCAGGGATTAAATAAGAAGGTTATTGTGTTCAAGTACAAGAAAAAGAAAAACTATCGACGAAACATCGGACACCGTCAGGTATTTCTCGGTCTTTGCCACTCTCTTTCTCTCTTCAATCTTGCAGCATGTTCTTGGGGTTTGCCTTCACATGTCATTCAACTGCTTCCATAGCTTTTGTAAACTTCTGGAACTGATTCACAGATCATAGGAATGTTTGATGTGCATGAGTTTAGAAAATTCTTTTGAGTACACATTTCTCTTTATAATCTCCGAATCTGTTTTACCCGAACGATACAGCCAAATACGCGGATTAGGATAACGGAAATCAGTGGATATCAAGACTATCCAGCAGCTACACTTGAGTCGTAGAAACAAATTCTGATGAACTATGAACTCATTCAGCAGGTTTGAAGATCTTAATCCTTATTTCTTGCTCAAAATCCCCACTTTTCTGTATGTAAGTTCTTGTGAATCCAAATGTTTCAACTCAATTGTTTCCATCTGTTAACGAATCTCATATAATCGCTAGTGACCATTCTGTCCATTTTTCAAGGAACTTTTGCAATTTTGAAGGAATTTTATTGCTCATATGGAGTCTTAGAAACTTTCCAACTTATAGCTTAATATGAGGGGATGTGCAAGTATGATTAAACAAAAAAGTATTGCTCGAAATGAAAAGTCTAAAATACCCCTAAAAACATACGTTAACTATTGATACACTTCCCTATTGATGCATCATTGATATAATTATTAATTATGCGTTTTATATTGAGTAAATCAATGGCATTTGTTCATTATTGATATGATATACTGTACTTTACTATTGATACATCATTAATTTGCCTATCATTTGCATGTTAATGGTATGGTATACTATCAATACACTAAAATTATACTTGAAATTGATTATGAATACTTGTTAATATACTATTGATACACTAATAATAGTATTATATTTAAATTTCGTTTTGAATAAATTTTGATATATTATGGATATAGATATAGTGTTGATACACTATCGATACATTAATGATACACAAATGACGTATTACTGATGCATGTATGTAGCTTCCATTCATAGTCGAATTTCAAGATTGAACATTGAATATACTTGATAGTGTGTGGCCGAACATTGATGCATGATTTACTTGAGATAAAAATATGTTTCAAGGCTTATGCATATAAAATTCATACATCCAACCAATAAATTAGAGATTCGAATCTCTACCTCGCATATTTTACATAATATTGAATAATGTTATACGCAATATAAACTAATAAATTAATGTACATAAATTGACATAGTTCTTAAATTAAAGATGGAGAGTTTGAAAATGATTGTGAGTAGCATAAATTCTTACCACTTGCACCATTTCGTTTTTAAAAGCTTTCAACTATTTCTTTGCTTACAAGTAAGCAAATGATATCCCTCTTTTTGGATCTTTGAATTCACAAGAATCAATGAAGGAACAAAAAATTACTTTGTAGCACGTGTGTCGCCCAGGACACAAGGGGCATAATGACTTGACGCCATCCTCACTTTCTTCCGGTTTATCACCGACAGTTGGCTTAGGGTTCCAACCTCAACGGTTGGCAACTAAACACGAGGGTTGCGCTCGTTGCGGGACTTAACCCAACACCTTACAGCCCAGACTACATACATATGTAACCTAATTATTTCATTTCTTTGGGGATACTGACCATCTGCCGATATTTTAACAGCAAATCCAATAGTGCTTGGTGTGTTTTTATTTTTGGAAATTGAGTGTGTATGTTTATTTCAAGAATAAATTAGATTTACAAAAAGGTGCACGATCCCAAATGGAATGGATGCAATTGAGTTGGAATTTTTTCCTTTTCAATCTTGCATTATCGAGTTTTTATTGATTCTAACTACCTGTCCCACATCTTCATGTTTGTTTCAAGAATAAGTTAGATTTACAAAAAGGTGCACGATCCCAAATGGAATGGATGCAATTGTGTTGAAATTTTTTCCTTTTCAGTCTTGCATTATCGAGTTTTCATCGATTCCAGCTACCTATCCCACATCATTTACACGATAAAACTATTTCAAAATATATTTAAATAAGTTTAAAATTCAAAGAATTTTCTTTTATCAATAGAGATACAATAAAAATTAACCTCAAAATCCGACTTTGAGGACTCGAACATATCAATTAATCTCGAAAAAAATTTACAAAAATAAAGATTAAAACCCCACCACAAAATGTTGTTTTTCTTCCTTTCACATCACAATCTGCAGTCCACACCAATCATTGTAATCTTCTTTTGAGTCTAATTTTAGTATATCAACCTGTAAGATATAACCAATATGATAATTGGGATATGTAAAGATCTATATATAAAAGGAAGTATAGTTAGTTTTCAGTTTGTAACCTGACTAAACCCTGTATGCTTTTTCAGTATATAATGCAACAAAAACTATAGTATATATAATAAATATAGCCTATATTCAGTGTAATCAGTGAGCTCCTAATGTGAATAAAGATATCTTCACCTATTTTTTCCTTTTAAACCCTCCAAACAACTGCCGATTCATCTACCGAACGACGTATAATTTGAGCTATATAACAGCTTGATGGTACACCTTTTTGCATCTGAACCTCGCCACGGTATCACCACAACGAGCATCGTCGATCAGAGCACTTGAAATCAATATCAATCTATACAAACAATGAAAACAAGAGGGAGTTGGTATATAAGATGAAGAAACTAAGCAATGGAGAATATTTGACAGAATGTGACTCAAAAAGCCAAATACGACATAAACCGATGTTGTTCTAGGTGTTGTGCAATGCAAATAGGATAAACTAGACACTCTGCTGAGACTATCTACTATGACCAATGTCCAAAACAGGTATTTTCGAAATGTTGGTTAAGTTTTCTAAGGTAGTGCTGACGTAACTGACAATAAATTTTGAGAATATTTGACAGAATGTGGTTCGAAAAGACAAATACGACCAACACCGATGTTGTTCTAGGTGTTGTGCAATGCAAATAGAATAAACTGTACACTCTGCTGAGACTATCTGCTATGACCAATGTTGACAACAAGTATTTTTGAAATGTGGGTTAAGTTTTCTAAGGTAGTGTTGACGTAACTGACAATAAATTTTGAGAATATTTGACAGAATGTGGCTCGAAAAACCAAATACGACCAAAACCGATGTCGTTCTAGGTGTTGTGCAATGCAAATAGAATAAAATGTACACTCTGCTGAGACTATCCGCTATGACCAATGTCGAAAACAGGTATTTTTGAAATGTCGGTTTAAGTTTTCTAAGGTAGTACTGACGTAACTGACAATAAATTTTAAAATATTTGACAGAATGTGGCTCGAAAAGCCAAATACGACCGACACTGATATCGTTCTAGGTGTTGTGCAATGCAAATAGAATAAACTGTACACTCTGCTGAGACTATCCTCCATGACCAATGTCGAAAACATGTATTTTTGAAATGTCAGTTAAGTTTTCTAAGGTAGTGCTGACATAACTGACAATAAATTTTGAGATCGTAAAGACCTGATATAGCAGCCATCCATACACAGAGCCCGAAAAAATTGCGTTCATTCGTATACTCGTTTCCTCTTTAGAAGTGTGGGCAGAATGGAGATGAAACCAATAAAGAAAAGCACAGACAAAGTTTTGAAATCATATAAATCCTTGACTGATTTCAGATCTCCGAGTGCAAGTCCAGCCTGATGATAATAAGATAATGAATTAACAGTTAAATAATTATCTTCAAGATGAAAAAATAGCACAGTAAATGTAAGATCTTGCAAGAAGTTGATAAATAAAAAAAGCGACGTAAAATGTAACAAATGTCGGGGAAATTTCCACCAAATATGGTACTCGTAGAGGGAAGAAATAATTATAATATATATACATACACATATAATAAACGTACATAACAAAATAAACATTATTGTAATGGCCTAAGTCTACCGCTAACAGATATTGTTCTTTTGGGTTTTCTCTTTTGGGCTTCCCTTTAAGGTTTCCAACCAATGTGGGATCTCACAATCCATCCCCTTTGAGGCCTAACGTCCTTGCTACCACTTGTTCTCCTCTCCAATCGATGTGGGATCTCTTTGATTTTCGGCTAGCCCGGCACTAACCCTTCAATATATTTCCAGCGTCCTCGCTGATACACATTCCCCTCTCCAATCGAAATGGGATCTCACAATCCACTCCTCTTCGAGGCCTAGCGTCCTCATTGGCGCTCGTTCCCCTTTCCAATCAATGTCGTTCCTCTTTCCAATTGATGTGGGATCGCACAATCCACCCCCTTTCGGGGTCCAGCGTCCTCGTTGGCACTCGTTCCCCTCTCCAATCGATATGGAATCTCACAATCCTCTCCCCTTCGAGGCCTAGCGTCCTCATTGGCACTCGTTCCCCTTTCCAACCGATGTCGTTCCCCTTTCCAATTGTTGTCGTTCCCCTTTCCAATTGATGTCGTTCCCCTTTCCAATTGATGTCGTTCCCCTCTTCAATCGATGTCGTTCCCCTCTCCAATCGATGTGGGATCTCACAATCCACCCCCCTTTAGGGCTCAGCGTCTTCGCTGACACTCGTTTCCCTCTCCAATCGATGTGCGATCTCACAATCCACCCCCCTTTAGGGCTCAGCGTCTTCGCTGACACTCGTTTCCCTCTCCAATCGATGTGCGATCTCACAATCCACCCCCTTTCGAGCCCAGCGTCCTCGTCGGCACTCATTCCCCTCTCCAATCGATGTGCGATCTCACAGTCCACCCCCTTTCAGGGCCCAGCGTCCTTGCTGACACTCGTTTCCCTCTCCAATCGCTGTGGGATCTCACAATCCACCCCCTTTCGGGACCCAGCGTCCTCGTTGGCACTCGTTCCCCTCTCTAATCGATGTGCGATCTCACAATCCACCCCCTTTTGAGTCCAGCGTCCTTGTTAGCACTCGTTTCCCTCTCCAATCAATGTGATATCTCACAGTCCACCTCCTTTCGGGGCCTAGCGTCCTCGCTGACACTCGTTTCCTTCTCCATTTGATGTGGGATCTCACAATCCACCCCCTTTCAAGGCCCAGTGTCCTCGCTGGCACTCATTCCTCTCTCCAATCGACATGGGATCTCACAGTTATGCTTTGATTTCCTATTGGTACTTGGACATCAAATAAATTATATCAACCATCACATAGACAAATCCAAGATAATCCAAGGTGTGATAGGAGTCATGCCTCTCAGTTACCAAATTATATAAAGGATAAGATCAACCAAAACATCAGACACAACACAACCGCCATTTATCCACTGCATTCACTAAACTAAAATTTCAACTATTCATTTATCTCAAGTGTCAAAGAAAACTCAAATTTCAGGTATTCTCCAACATTATTTACAAGGAAAGCAATATAAAAACGATATAAGAACAACTGACTTGAGAGATATTCATTACATAACGGAAAACAAATCCCAATATGAACAAGACATTTAAATCTACAATGATAGAAACTTACTCGGACAGTGATATAGGATGCTGGAACAAGGCCAATTAAAGTAGCCAAGAAGAACACATGAAATGGGATGTCAACAATAGGTGAAGCCAAGTTGATAAAAAGGTTCGGTAACGTCGGTGTTATCCTTAGAAAGAGCATATAATTGAGTAGCTTTTCTCGATGCTTCGCTATCTGGATAATCGAAGCCAAGATTTCAAACCAACATGAGATTAGATGTGACTAGAGAGTCGTCACCGAATCGAATTTAAACAAAACTCACAGTAAATAAGTACCTCTGCCTGGAACAATTTCAACTTTTCGGGCCACACCCAGTAAACTAAAGGTCTTCCAACCAACTTGGAGAGAAAAAAGCAAGAGGATGCACCAGCTGTTGCATTAAAGACAACTAATAGAAGGCCTCTGATAACACCAAATAGAGCTCCAGCCAGCAATGACATGAAAATTGTTCCAGGAATCATGAACGTTTGCATGAATATGTAGGTGGAGCAATAACCTAGAATGAATTGTGCTGGATGATCTTTGGCATAATTTGCAAAGAGATCCCTGGAGTATAATTAAACAGATATACAAATCAGAATAACAATGGAGAATATTATAATGTTCGGGTACTAACTCGAAATAGCGACAGATAACAATAATTTGCTGGAACATTTTGTTAAACTACTAAACTCAATAAGCATTTTTTGATATTAATCGAGAGGTAAACGACATTAGGTGATTCAAGTTTAGGACCCCTACGTAACAGTCCAAGCCCACCGCTAGTAGATGTTGTCCTTTTTGAACTTTTCCTTTCGGGCTTCTCCTCAAGGTTTTTAAAATGCATCTACTAGGGAGAGGTTTATCCACACCCTTCTAAGGAATGTTTCGTTCTCCTCTCCAACCGATGTGAGATCTCATAATCCACCCCCTTGGGTGCCCAGCGTCCTCGTTGACACACCCCCCGGTAACTTGGCTCCGATACCATTTGTAACAGCCCAAGCCCACCGATTGCAGACATTGTCCTCTTTTGCCTTTCCCTTTCGGGCTTCCCCTCAAGGTTTTTAAAACGCGTCTATTAGGGAGAGGTTTCCACACCCTTATAAGGAATGTTTTGTTCACCTCTCCAACAGATGTGGGACCTCATAATCTACCCCCTTGGGGTCCCAACGTCCTAATTGGCACACCGCCCGATAACCTAGCTCTAATACCATTTGTAACAGCCCAGACCCACCGCTAGCAGACATTGTCCTCTTTTGCCTTTCCCTTCCGAGCTTCCCCTCAAGGTTTTTAAAATGCGTCTAATAGGGAGAGGTTTCCACACCCTTATAAGGAATGTTTTGTTCACCTCTCCAACCGATGTGGGATCTCACAATCCACCCCCCTTAAGGGCCCAACATCCTCGTTGGCACACCGCCCGATAACCTAGCTCTGATACCATTTGTAACAGCCTAAGCTCACTACTAGCAGACATTGCCGCTTTAAACTTTCCCTTTCGAGTTTCTCCTCAAGGTTTTTAAAACGCGTTTACTAGGGAGAGGTTTTCACACCCTTATAAGGAATACTTCGTTCCTCTCTCCAACCGATGTAAGATCTCACCCCCTAACTTTGATACCAGGTTAAACTAGCCCAAAACCAAAAGCTTAAGTTGATAGGTTCGGTCATATTCAATCCTTTAACCTCATTTTCACACATTTAACCCATGATATGCACCGATGAAAAGCAATCTCAAACTAATTCTTCAATTCCAAGAGTTCTTCATCCTTCAATCCGAGATATGAAACCCCATGAAGTGTCCCTCAACCATTCTAAGTAAGCAAGAAACTATCCTCATCATTCAGAACTCCAAACATAATTCCATACCCCCTCTCATGTTCCAAAGACAATCAAAGACTTGAATTAAAGAAAACAACAACCCTCAATCTACATTTCCTCTTCCAAATTCACAACAAATCAACAATCAGTTCAAAAATACTATATAGCACAAGAAGAAGGGAGGCAATGAAATATCGTAACATGTTCTAAAACGAAAAGGGCTGAACAGAGAAACACATACTTAAGCATCCGAAGATCCGAAAGCGTTCGTGGGATCTTAACGCTCTGGTATTCTGCAGAGGGCATCGTCATATACACACAAACGAGGCCAGTGGAGCAGACAAGGAAGATGCCAAAAGCCGCCGCTACCTCCCACTTCGACAATGGAAACCTCTCAAATTTAGCCTTCTTAGCCGTCGAGTTCTCTTCCTTCAGCTTCTCCTCATCCTTCAGCCCCACCACATTCCTTGAAGCTGCCATTAATCGATCGAACCACAGATTTCCCCCAAAATTTCACAGGATGAGAAGGAGAATTCAAAAGAACACTGTTACGTCGTTTTTCGATTACCAATCATTGAATTTCACTCAATGACACAAATGATCAACGCAGATCTGAGCATTGGTTTTTTGAACGAAATTTGAGATAATCGCTCCTGAATAAAGGGAGAAATCAGAGAATCTAAAGAACACAGAAACAGGGAATTTGTGAGAACTTTACGGCAAATTGATGAAGAAGGGTTTCAGTGGCGGAGGAGCTCTGTAAATGGATCATCAATGGCTATTATTCACCGTCTGATCTCGAAGAGTAATGGCGGAAGACGGCGAACTCATCGGAATTTTGACGCTCCTCCCTCTCTCTCTGTTCTTCAGGGCATCTTCCTCTTCCACCCCTTAATTTTTTTTTATTTGGGTGTTCTTCTTTTTCCTCCAAACAAGGAATTCAATTTATTTATTATGATTTTTTTAGCAAATTAAGCAGCATGTTTCCAAATTTCTAGGACACTAAAATATATATATTTTTTTTTTTGGAACATGAACCTATGTTTATTTGGCAAATATTGAAACTTCACATGAGGGTGTACATGGTCCCGGTCCCAATTGGGTTGAAGGATTTTTTTTTACAACAAAAAAAGTTTGGGTTTGTTGAGCTGGTAACTCAACCCAACTGATTCAGTTCGATTTCGATTTCATGGGACAAAACCTTTCAATTGACCCGAGCCAAATAAAAATATATAAATATATTAAGAATTTATCCGTATTAATGGGTTTGTCAGGGTGATTCTCCTATCCGTCTAAATACTTAAAGATTGTATCCGAATAATTATAACCCAACTCGAAATGCTAATCCAACCCAACCCTACCCGTAGGGTTGGGTTGGTCGGGCTTCACCTATTTATAATATTTTATTAATTTTTTTTAGGGGAATAAAATATAAAAGTAATATATATAGCTTTACAACTTGAAAATTTTTTAATATCTATTTTGATTGGTTGATATTAGTTTAAGTAGATTTATCTGTTTATTTTTTATTTGAAAATTTAGATTTTCAATTTAGTAAATAGAATAAATTTCTAATTAAATTTGGGGAAATATATTTTTAATTCTAAATTTTGGGATTCTTCCCAAATTATCAAACTAGGTTTAAATTTGGGGGAAAACTAATGACTCTCGGTTTGAGCCATTGTTGCAACCAGAAGGGACCCGGTTGACAGTGACAAGTGACCTTCACAATGGTATAATATTGTTAACTTTGAGCATATACTCTACTTCGTATCAATAAAAATAGTGTCTTTTGTCGATATATTCATGATCTTCCCGTTAATTAGTTAATGTGGGACTTCAACAATTCATGATCTATCTAGCACTATCTAGATAACTCCTCTTCTTTGGTAGTCTAATAAAGCTTTACCACAGATCTTCACTGTGGCTACATCTTCGAGGCTCATAACTTCTTTGTTCGATGCGTGAGGATTCTATTGGCATGGTTAAATTGAGATAAGGGCATGACTCTAATATAAATGATAGGGACAAGTGACTTCCATGATGGTATGGTACATAACTTCTTTGTTCTACACGTGAGCATTTAAGGTAAGGGCATGACTTCGATACAAATGATAGGGACGAGGACCTCCATGATGGTATGGTACACAACTTCAATGTTCGACACGTGAGCATTTAAGATAAGGGCATGACTCCGATACAAATGATAGGGATGAGTGACTTTCACAATGGTATGATATTGTCCACTTTGAATATAAGCTCTCATAGCTTTACTTTTTGTTTTCCCAAAAAATCTTATACCAATGGTGATAGTATCCCTTACTTATATACTCATTATCTTCCCTTTAATTAGCTACCGTGTGACTCCAACACCACCTTTTAATCAATGAAGACCCACACATCAGCACGACCTCAAACAACCTCTAATCAGATTACTCATAACTAGTAGAAGTCATATCTATTAAGTTCGAACTTAATTAACTACCAACTAATGAGGATTTTAGCCCTTTTGGTAAAGTGCTTTAAACCCTTTTTAACTCATTTTTGATTGTTTGAATAAGGTTAAGGCCATTTTATGGTAAACACCCTTTTCCCTATGATTAAGGTTACTATAAATAAGGTTAAGGGCATGATAGGGTTACTATAAATGGATCATTTCTTTGAAAACTTTATTTATTATTTTAATTCTACACCTTTTTGGAGTGGGCGAAAGGGTGGGAAGTTACTTGTCAAAATGGTGCTAACTTTCTATTCATCTGAAAGGTAATGGGGAGTAACTTACCAATCATGGCCACTAAAGTTAGATAGTGGATATTCCCATAGGACCATAAAGTTACCTAAGTTTGGGGATGTGATCCCTCCTACGTGGCTAACTACTGGGTCAACCTATGTGGTCTCACGCCTCCCTCCCAGAGATGAGTTTATAGCACTGTAACCCCGTTCAGGAGACCCCTGGCCATGTTCTCAAAGTTAGGGCACCTATCACACTATCCTAACCGCCCTGTGCCTAGCTCGAAGGTACAAGTACCAAAGTGAAAACTCGACGGTACGGGTACTAAAGTGGATAGAGTAGTGGAGAGACTAATAACACCATTCATATTGCTAGTTGGAGGTTGGAGATTTTCTTATCGATCTTCTAAATCACAAAACACATAATTTAACGTTCCCTTGGTAACCCTTTTAGAGTCGATTTTGACATTTTCAAAGGCATTTAGGATAAGTACGACCATTGTTTGGCCAAATTAGAGCGTTGCAAGTAAAATTAGAGGTTTAATTATGTTATGGATATGGTTGTGATTTCCATGTTGTATAATACACGATGTCTCTATATGTTATGTTATTCATACTATATTAGCACGATTATGAAATATTGTTATGTCACTATGTATTCATGAAAGAACGAATATACGACTTGCATTGCATGTTTATGTCATGATTTAAAACTATGAGGACCTCATGCACACGTGCATCAAGATACTTTACTGTTATGATAAGTATGGACGTGTACAATATGATATCTATTTACGCCATTATATCATGCGGGCTTCTTTCCTTCCATGGCTCCAACAGCGCGAGCATGCACTAGCTGAAGGACAAGCCCAAGGGATATGTATACGCTCACTTGGTGAGTCCATGTGCGCATACGTTGCTCGTGTGTAAAGAAGTATTACACATCCAATTTTAGCCAGAATTCAAGGTCATAAAATATTTTTATGAAAGGATAGGTCTCTCGACGATTGCTTGTGTATGCATTTTCTGACCCCAATAGTAACAAATACTTGAGTTACGTGCTACTCTTATTTTGTAGGTAAAGGTAAGGCACCTCTGTACGGATGACAATATCAAAGTGACAACCATGAGACCAAAAGTAGAGTATATGCATTCATGTCATTTTCTTTTGTAGATCATGGCAAAGATTTTACTTTCTTAGTTTTATTTACTTTCGTGTTTATTTATTTTATTATAATATGGTCTTAATGACTTTAGTATGAACGTGTAAGTGCATGGCCTCATTACGAAATGTTTTAGATGAATTTCTTGCGCAGTGTAGATACGTCATGTATGTAGTGGCAACCTTGATTTTAATAGGAAATTTGAGTCGTTACAAAGAAAGTCTAAGGAGTTAGAGCAGAGAATCATAAAGTTGAGAGTCCGTGTTTTAAGCCACCTTGACACCCTAGGAGGAACCTAGTAGACCTTTTGTCACCTACGAATGACTAAGGTAGCTCTCCATGTCTCAATAGCGATATGGGTGGCTTGCCTTTTCTAATGGAGTCCAACTCCCCACTTTCTCAACATAAGCGATGTGAAACAATTTTTTTTTTTTTAATTTTAAGTTATTATATTATGGTTAAGAAAGACTTAAAAAAATCTACCTATGTCAACAAGGTGCACTTTCCTTTTCATTGCCTTAATTGTCGGAACTCAGAAGTTTAGCATGCTTGACTTGAAGTATTTTCACGTGGGTAATCTTCTAGGAAGGATGTAAGTGAGAAAAAAAGGTTAAAATGACTCGTGTTAGTTTATGAAGATAGTCTTCACTCTTAAAGTGTTTAAGTTATAGGTAACGGGCAACGTAAACGCGCATGGATCCACCACGCGAGCATATACGTACCCCTTGGGCCTATCCTTCAGCTATTGCACGCTCACTCTTAGATTATCTTTTGTAACAAAGTAGGTTAAAATGACTCGTGTTAGTTTATGAAGATAATCTTCACTCTTAGAGTGTTTAAGTCACAAGCAACGGGCAACGCACGCACGCATGGATCCACCACGCGAGCGTATACGTAGCCCTTGGGCCTATCCTTCAGCTAGCACAGGCTCACTCTTAGTCTATCTTCTATGACAAAATAGATTAAAATGGCTCGTATTAGTTTATAGTTCAAAAACAAACTAAAATCGAAGCAGGTTGACCGATAACAACCATGTAAAAAGCGGGATACGCGAATAAACACGAAGAAACACAAATAAACTTCTTATTCTTAAGAAAACCAACTTGATTTGATCACTACATGCAAATGAAAATTAATTTATCTACATGCAGTGATACATTTACAATTCAAAACAACTTTCTCATAAACCCTAATCAATCACATATCTGTTTCAATAAAGAAAGACCATTCACTTTGTTCTGATCTCTCTCTTTATACTTACAAAAAAAACACTCTAAAATCAGTTTTTTAAATATCTTTCAGCCTTTTAGTGTTCATATATCATTACAAAAGTCAACAAAAGTTTCGGGTAAATTAGGGTAAGAAGAACACGACGTTTCCACAATTTGCGACGAACAGAGTATGTCGTCCAAATTAACGTTCCATTCGAGGCACGGGTCGTCGTGATTGTTATTATTATTTCTCTTTGTCTCGTTAGTCTCAAAGTTCGTTGAGAGCGTCGGGCTCTCGAGACTCGGTAATTGGATGAGTTGGTAATTTTGTTGTTGTTGTTGTAGTAGTTGAAGATGATAATTTGGGAGTTGGTCTGAGGAGTTGACCATGTGGGTTGGGGTCATGGCATCTGAAAATGTACTATTGTTGTTGTTTTTGAGATCATAATATAAGCCTTGATGTTGATAGCTATTCCAAGCTCCAATGGCTTGGTTTTGAGTAGGGCTTGGCTTTTTGAAGGCTCTACAAACCACCCAACCTTCTTCCTGCATGTATCGAACAAAAATCTCGAGTTATATACATGTTTTGAAGATCTAACAATTGTGTCGTTAACGTTGAAAATCTTGTTGCATCGACACAAATTGTAGAAACTTGCCTGAACAGGAGCAAGTTCGGAGGTTTGGTGACGATATTCATGCATAATCCAATCAGTTTTTCTACCATTTGGAGCTCGACCTTTATAAAACACCAATGTCTTTCTCATCCCAATCACTCTATTCTTTGACAAAACCGCCTTATCCCTCCCTGTGGCCTTCCAAAATCCC